TTATTACCCCGATAGACTGAACTTCAGAGAAATAATACTGCTTATCAAAAGGCACCATTAAATTAGGCTGGAATGTGTGTGTACCTCGGAGGTAAAACACTTTCCTACCCTGTGCCAGGCCTTAGATTCAAGGCTCAACACACATGTGTGCACACATGCACGCACACACAGTAGGAGTGGGGGATGGGAGGGAGTATTAGGCAAATGACAAAATCCAGAGGCAAAAAAATAGTTTTACACAGGCCAAATGGTACAGGGTTTTAATCTCTACACCCAGGAGGCAGAGGCAGATGGAGTCCAAGGCCAGCCTGGTCTACATGGGGAGTTTGAGGCAACCCAGATCTATACAATGAGACCTTGTCTCAAAAATAACAATTTGTTAGCATGTGCCTGGTAAGCCTTCCTTCCGGACTTCTCCTTTAATTAGAAATTAAAAGGAACAAAAATTTAAAATTGACAAAATATTTAAGCAAGCGCTTCTTCACAAAGAAATTGTGATGTGCCAGCAACCAGGGGCAAAGGTGGTAGTGCACAGCTGGCCTGGCCTATATACTAAGTTCCTAGGCTAGCCTGTCTCAAAAAATGTAAATGCTACTTATTACAAATACTTTCGATAATGCAACAAAACTATACAAAGGCTATAAGTTCAACTTCTTGGGTTATTCAGATTGTATGTCCCTTATCATTTGATAATCTTAAAAATCTTAATATGCATAAGATATGTTTGGAGTGGGGCTAAGACTACATATAAAATGAACTTAATTTATTAATTTGCTTACTTACTTATTAGTAGTGCTGGGTATTGAGCCCTGAGCCTCAGGGGTGCTAGGTATGCATGTACCTAAGTTATATGGCCGCCCTCAGCCAGATGTCACATATGCTTCACGCAGATAGCCTGAAAGCAATTTCATACACTACTTTTATTAAGTTGCATTTGACTAAGTCTTGTCATGTAAGGCCAGGTGTGGAATTTCCCACTTGTGGCATATAGGTACCCAAACGCTTAGCAGATGAAGTAGTTCAAAAAGACTAGGTTTTAAGATTAGGGACATTCAATCTGTACCCAGGAGACATATCTCCACCAATGAGTTTCAGGAACTTCGGGGGATGGAGATATGGCTCAGCAGTTAGCCCTGCTCAGACCCCCAGACCTACCTCCAGCTTCAGGGCGATCCCAGCATATCCAGCTCTGTCAGCACCTGCACTTACCTGTATGAAACCCATGCAAATTCACATGTATATGCATAATTGAAATAAAGTAAATTCATTTTTTAAGAAGAAAGAACATTATGGCACTTTAATTTGTAACACTCCAATTAAAAACAACTCTAATGTTCATAAAAAAGTAAAATGGATAAAGCGTTAGTAATGAATACTGTTCCTGTGGGGAAAATAAACATCCCACTAACAGCCAGAAAATAAATACTTTAGGCTTTGTGGGCCAGATAGTGCCACAGTAATAAACACAGAAACAGGCTTTGGCCATGTTCCAATAAAAGTTGCTATATGCAACTATGTAATGGGCTAGAATTAGCTAATAGGCCACAGTTTGCCAGTCCCATATAGAAAAGAAAAACAAGCAAACAAACAGAAGTTATAATGCAGTGTGAATGGCTCTCAAGAATACAATGTGAGCCAAATAATAATAATAATAATAATAATAATAATAATAATAATAATAATAACAGCACATTTTCAAGTTCATGATTACTGAAATCAGGACAGCTGAGTGGGGGAAGGAACAGGGATGAAAAGGCTTTATGACCACATCTGCGTAGTCACATAGGCACATACTTAGTACATTTCATCAGGCCACACCCTTTATTTTTGCCTTTTCCACATTTTGCAAGTAAGTTGTAGCTTAATTTGGAGGAAAAAAAAGGCAAACTGGATGACTGGAATACGGACCTAAAGAAATAATATCCAGAATTTGACATGGACAAAAAAATAAAAGCCAGATTAAAAACATGCAAGAAAGTTTAGTACATCTGCTTGTTGTTCCTAAAGGAAAAAAAAAAAAAAAAAAAAGGTAGTGCACAGGGGAGAATGAAATCAAGGATAAAACTTCCCAAGCTTGAGAAAGCAACCTTAGGTAAAGTGTCCATGCATGCAAAGGAACACAATACATACATTACTGCGTCTAGAAAGCCTTTGATTGCACACTCTACATGATCAGATGAGGAACAATTAAGACCACAAATCGACTCTCAAAAGGAAACAAATCAGTGGTATTGATACAAATGATGACTGCAGTGCAAACTAGAAATCACTAATGGGAGAGGCACTTCCCAAGCCTTCCACACTGAAGCTAGAGAATACCTCTCAAACAGTGAAATGAAAAAATATAGCATAACGGAAACATGTTTACTTCTTAAACAGAACCACAGAGTACATGTAAAGCAACCGCTCACAAAAAACTGTAATGTTTTCAGATGACAAATGGGTACAGAGCCCAGAAGCAAGCCCAGACCAAGCTGGGCTTTGCCCATAGCAGAGGGGGAGGCCCTGGCACAGCCACAACTGCCATTCCAGGTGAAAAATAAAATAAAATGCAGTTAATCTTGTATTATCTCCACCACATAAGCAAAACATACATAGTTACACCCACAAGTACCTGCGCTCCAGAACTATTGACAAAACATGAACCATAAACATTTTAGAAATCATTGTGGGACACATTTCATTACCAGCCAAGCTTTTTTTTAAAAAAATCAAGACACACACATCACAAAGATGAATGTCTGTTTATTATCCGAAAGTTTTTTCAACCATGACCTGTATGCAGAACAATGTTTCCCAGGAGAAATGTCTGCGAAGTTGGAAACGTCCTGGTCTGTAATTTCAGAGTGTGGAACATAATAAAATATAAAGTTCCATGTGGGGGCTGGGTGCTGGAAATGTGGCCCAGAGCCACGAAATAACTGAAATCGAAATGGATGCAGCATGCCAACATTTTAAACCCCAGCATGGAGGTTTGCAAAGTTTGTGTGCTTTGTGACCATCTTAGTATTTGCTTTTCTTTTTTCCATAACAAAACCTCATTTGAGCTTAAACTGCTAAATAAAATATAAGTCCAAGTAACACCAAAGTTACTTTTGGAAAGAGCACACTGAGTGACTTCAATTTTCTTAAGTTTCTCAAGTTCTTTTAAAATACACTTAAAATTTTTAATGTATAGAAACATATGGGGGAGGTAATGAATAGCTATGTGCCCCCAAAGAAATCATGAAATACAAAGTTAATGCTGTTACGTTTCCTAGGTAACTCTCCCTGATCAAGACTTTTTATGACGCAATGGAAATTTTGAGATTTCAAGCCGTGGATTCAGGCTTTTTCACTTTCTTTAATTTATTGACGGGGGGGGGGGATTAACGTTTAGATATACATGTTGTTAATCCTGAAATGTGGCTCAGGTCACTGCCCACTGGCCAGGAGATGCAGTTTTCAGAATCACAGTGTCCTTCACGTTCCCTCAGACCTACCACTCCCTACTCCTCCAGGGAGGCAACCATTAACTTCATGTTCATAGCTTTAATTTATATTTCCCCCTTTTGACATTTCATATCTCTTCGCTTCCCTAAACAATAGCTTTGCTTGCCAGGTTCTTAATTTTACATAGATGAAATCATGCAATATTAAGTAACTTAGTTTTATTTTTTTCCCCCTCAACACTGAGAGGTGTCTGTGTGGAAACACAAAACTACTTCATTCGCCCCTGTACTGTGCTCCATTTTATGACTGGCACATGATTTATGTTTCTCTGTCAGGCCGACATGAAGGCGTCGTCCAGCTTTGTGGTACTACACAGACAGCCTCTTATACATGTCCTCTGGTGCATCTGAAAATGTATCTAGGGCAGTGGTGTTTAAACTTTTTGACTATGACTCAGAGTAAGGAATGACATTTTAGAACATCATTACACACATTCATGTGTATAAAACTGCGGGGGGCATAAAATAAAGACCCTCTGACGTTTTAAAAATCTCTGCTTGTGGTTTTCCGTTTCTTATCACTGTCTACATAAACGATTTCACAACTCACAAATACGGACTTCACGTTTGGAACAACGCCACGCTGTGAGGGATGAGGACAGAGGCACGGGACAGCGAGAGCGGGGAAACGCAGACGTCAAATGTCCTCAACTCTGATTTTCTTGGCTTAAATGAATGTTCTCATTTATTAGTACATACATTTCCCACTGTTTTAGAGCAAAAACCACGAAACAACAGATTTTATCTTTTCATACATCACTAAAATATTAATCACTTACCACGCGTTAAGTAAGCAGACAGAGTCTCCAACACAGACCTATGGGTTAAAACGCAGAGGGAAGAGAAAGGGAGGGGGTCCTGAGTGGGACCTCGGCGAGGCTCCAAAGAGCTAACGGGAAGGGCCTCGAAGCCGCCTTGGAGGGTGGGGTTAGAGGAAGATTCCTGGAAGAAAGACCTACGCTGGGACATTTCTATTTTTAATTTTTACCCGATTCCTAAAACATCAAAGTAGCACATTTGTTGCAGGGGAATCGGGGAGGGGAGTGGAATTCCCAACATTTTTAAACCCTTTCGGTGCAAAGCCAAAACCCTTACCAGCGTCCTGAAAGTTGGTTGGAGCCTGGAGAAAAGGACACAAGTTGCGCTCTGAATTCCCCTAGGAATTCGTAAGAGTCCGGTGTTTTCAAGTCGCTTTAAGAGCACAAGTGAGAACTCCCAGTTACGTGTGTTTTAACCAAAAGGACGCAAATCGCTCCCCCCCCAACCCCCAGTGTCTTTTTAGCCTCTTGGTGAGTTCAGAGTGTTGCCGGGTCGCAAGGACCGCGCCTAAGTGCCGCATCACACTACCAAGGTGCGAGCAAGCGCGGCACGAGTGGCTCAGAGCACCGGAGCCGGAGTTTTACCTCCTCGGAGCCAGACGGCCCGGGACCCTGCGGTCCGCGCAGAGCGCGGCAACCCTCCCCGCGGCACGGCCGTCCCGCCGCGCCTGCCCCGCCGCTCGCCACCTACCCGAGCCGGGACGCAGCCTACGCTGCCATGACCGCGGCCGGCAGGCGTCCGCTCCGCTCCGCTCGCCGCGAGCCCGTGCCGCGGCCGCGCCTCTCCAAGCGTTCTCCCGCCTGCCAGGCGAGTGCGCCGGAGAACGCCCCGGCGGCGGCTAAATCAAGGCTCGGGGCGGTCCCGCCCCAGCCGAGTGACGAATGGCAGGCTCCGTGGGCTTTGCCGCGCAATGCCGCAGCCAAGGGGAGGGCTGCGCGGACGAGGCTCGGGGGAGAGGAGCGGGCCGCATCACGTGGGAGGAGGAGGCCCCGCTGGGGCTCGGGGGTCTGCGGGGGCGGGGGGCAGCCACGCAGCCCTGCGTGGTGACTCATCCGCTGTGTGCGCAAAGCCAAGGTCGCCCAGGTGCCGCGTTGGCGCAGGTAGCCGCGGCTCAGCCAGAAGATGTGCATCGAGGGCTGATGGAGCCGGAGCGGGATGAGCCACCCTCGGCCACAGCGCAAACCAGAAACCAGAGAGACGCTTCGCAGGCAGGCGCTCGCAGCCAGAGGCCGAGGGAGCTCGGTCCCCCGTGAGACGCGGGGCCACCGTTGGCACGGGCCGCACGGCCGCCGACAACAGCTTTGAGGGTCTACAACCCCAAGTTCCATGACAGCCCCTCTAGAACCCATACTCTCCCGCTTGGCCAGCGAGAAAACAAGATGGACTGAAGGCAGTTTTTATGACCGTGGGCTCACGTTCTTCAGACTTTAGACATTGAAAATATTTTATACTATTTGAGTTTTTTTTTTTTTAGGAGCCCAAAGCGAACCCCCAGCGTTTGCTTTCGTCCTTGTAAGGCGATCATACTTAAAAGAGGTCTGAACGTGATGTGGAAAAGCTAAGGAACACGGCGTCCCGACTTGTTTCAGTTTCCCCGTCTCCTGGGTGAGAGAGCGGCGAGGCTGCTGCATACTTTCTCCTCCCCAACCCAGACTCATTTTCCACTGCTGCTGCTTTTACTCTTTGCTCATTAGCGCTAAATGTGCGGTCTAAACTTGAGATTTAAACGAACTTGATGGTCACTGTAAGCCTTTCCTGGATTACTTCTGTTTTAGTAAAGAAGGCTGGATATCTTTTTCCTTAGGCCATTTTCTTAAGAAGTATGTGACTTTAACGTTAGAGGAAAAATATGCTTTTATCTTCACATGTGGATAAACAAAACAAAGCAAAAAAAAGCACGGGTATTTTAAATCTACACCTTGTAAAACCTGACAGAACACAAAACAATTTCTTCTTATGTTTTTTTTTTTTTTTTTTTTTTAATGGGGTCTCATGTAGTCCAAGCCGGCCTTGTACTCACTGTGTGCTCAGGCTGTCCTTGAACTCCTGATCTTTTTGCCTCCACCTCCTAAATGTTGGTATTACATTCTCAAAAGACTATTTCCACCTGCCTTACTGATAAAGGATCTCCATGCAAAGGCCTGAATCCTACATAAGATTTCTTCAAAGGTCACTTGGTTTTTCTGCTTGAATGCCTGAAGAATCATTTATCAAGGACCGAATGGCCTACTTCCCCCATTCCACCTATATCGTGCTCTTTGAGTTTTTGAGTTACATTCTTTAATGAGTATAATGTTCCATTCATGTTATATCTGAATCAACTTCTGTTTTAGGACTGAGTGTTGTTTTTGTAGACTTTTTTTTTTCTTTTCCTGTGAATTCTTTAGGTTTTAATGCAAGGAGGGTTGGGAGAAGGAGGGCACTTAGAAGCAGCCAGAATCGGGAATGCTGCTTGCCTAGGCAACGCAACTGGTAAATCCTTAGACCCCAGCAGACCCCTCCTCGATAGAAACAAGCCCTTGCGGTGAGCTCCAGCCAGGATTTGCAGCAGACCATAGCGCCCCAGGAGGTGACTGAACCGCAGGGTTAAGTGTGTAGGTTCCTGGACACCTCACAAGGATGTTACCAACTTATTTCCAAAGGGCTGATTTTTGTGACTTCTCAGGATTTGTTTTTTTTTTTTTTTTCAACATACCTCAAAGGGTAGGAAGATGGTGGGTCTAGGCAGATTGTGGAGACCCGGCACTTCTATCAATTCTCAAACTAGACACTGTAAGAATGCCATCTGAGACAGTTATGCTCGTCTGTAATCCCAGCTCTCAAAAGGAGTATGGAAAAGTTTAAGGTCAGCCTGAACTATGTAGTGAGACCCTGTTTTAAAAAAGAAAAGAAAAATAAGATGTCAGGGTTTTTCCCCCCCCTTGGTTATTTTCTTTCCCTTGGGTGGTCTAATTTTGACTTTTTCATGCTTTCCTGAAATATGCTTATACAAGAGACTCTCGTTGCTAATAAATCACATGAAACTGTTTTTCCTGTTATGCTATTTTCAGAGTTCTATTTTGACTATGAATGGGTTTCCCTGGTAGCTGGGACATCTTTTCCTCGGACACATATTACAGGGTGTAAATAAATCTTCACAGGGCTAAACCAGTGAGGAATGATAACTCTACACTAAAGTAGAGTTCTTAAAGACTCTTAAGAAGACTGATAAAGACTTCTTAAAATGTCCTTATCAGTCAGGCATGGTGGCTCGCTAGATGACCCCGACACTTAAGAGGCAGAAGCAAGAGGATTAGATATTCAGGGCATTCAAGGTCTTCCTTTGCTACAAGTGAGTTCAAGGCCAGACATGGCTACATGAGACTCTAGCAGATTTTTTTAAAAAAAGTTTTTCTTTATCAAAAAGCAAGAGGAGCAATGCTGAGGTTGACACTGTGATAAAATGTGTCAGAACTTTTCACTATCAGGCAACATTTCTACTGATGGTAGCAGCTGTGGCGGTTTTAATATTTACACCACGTGAACAGACAGTTGATACAAAACATGAACACAATAACCGAGTAATAGGCGACAGTATCATTTTTCAGTCATGTAGAAAGGACATTGAGCAAAATCTGACATACATTCTTGAAAACAAAAAGTAGAACTATAGGGGACCTTCCTTGGCCTACTAATGGGCAGACTTGTTTCCTATAGCTGTCACAATAAATTACCACAAATGGCTGGTTCAAAACAAAAAACTTACTTTCTCAAAACTGCAGAAACCAGAAGTCTGAAATTTAAAAGATTCAGCAAAGAACACGTGCACCCTCTAGTGGTTGTTAAGGAGAATCTGCCCTTGCTTTAGCAAGTTTTGGTAGAAGCTCTGTGGCTTGACAGCCACACTGTCCACATCTCTGCCTTCATCTCCAGGTTGTCTTCTTGTCTCCACCGTGACTACCTTATAAGGACACTTGTCATTGTATTGTAATTTGAACCCACTTGAGTTACTTCAATACAAGCAAAATACCTAATGTTTTCACATGAAATCTCCTCAAAAACTGGGCCTGCTGGTCCCTGTAGCATAAATTTTTAATTAGAATATAAAACTTCACTACATTTGCACTTTTTAAAAATCAAATAATATTTGATATTGTCCCAGTGATTAGGACATGGGCATGTATGTGTTTGGGGAGGTGTGGAACTTGCTTTGTAGATCTGGCTGGAAATTGTACGCTGCCTATGTTTTATGTTGGTCTGTGATTTAATTTGATTTCATTTTCTTGTTTTAAATGCAAGCAGTTTTTTTCTCCATGGTAAAGAGCCAGTTACTAGTCTATTTAGCACTCTAACTGTGGCTAGTCAAGACTGAGATAAACTACCTGTGAAAATTATGCTTCACTTTTCAAGGACTCTGGATTAAAAACAATTAAAACTTGATGACATATGCTCCACTCCCAGGTGAAAAGAAAACTGCCCCATAAAGTTGTCCTCTGACCTCCACATGCGTGCTGTGGCACTAATGTAGCCCCTACACACAACAGATACACATTAGTAAGTGTTTAAAATAATTTTGTACTGACTACACGTTGAAATGATAACAATGATTATGTTCTGGATATATTAGTTTGGACACATATATGACCTGAGTTTGCTGAAGGAAGCTGTTTTACTGTGGCTACTGGAAAATCTAAGCTGGTACGCACGACACACTTCCAGCAACTCAGGTCTAGAGGAAAACCCAGGACCGGCAGTTGTTTGGCAGGCTACACAAACCAAAGATCCTGAATGAAAGAATTGGTAAGCAGATTTACTGAAAATAGGATCTTCAGTTCTTTAGAAGAGACCATGTAAGAAAATGAGAACTCAAGCCTCTGTCTGGGAGAAAATATTGACAACCCAGATCACTGACATGGGACTTAGAATATCTGAAGGACTCATGTGGTTAACATACAACAAGAATGCTATAAAAATGAGCAAAACGTATTTTTAAAAAAGCTGACCAAAGAGGACATCCAGACCAGCAGTCACACAAAACACATTTAAAATCATTTCCCCAGTGCAAGGGAAAACTAAAGTGAAATACCACTATATGCCCACCAGTACAGCTCTGGTTAAAAGGACAGACAATGCCAAGACTAGCAACAATGTGGAAAAACAGCAGCTAAAAGGAACATCCCTAAATGGAAAAGAAACTGATACAATTTGAAAGTTTCTTTCTTTGCTTTTTGAGACAGTCTCCTTGTGTAGCCTAGCCTGACCTGAAACTCATAGAGTACAAACTAGCCTCAAACTTGGTGATGCTCCTGCATCTGCCTCCCGAGTGCTAGGGATAATAGGCATGAACCACAATGGTTGGCTCTAAATTATCTTATGAAGCTACACAGTTGTTTGTTTTATAATCCAGGACTCCTATTCTTATTTAGCAAAACAAACAAACAAACAAACAAACAAAAAAGCAGATACCATGTCTATACAACTAGTTACAAGTGTTCATATTGGTTCCAAACTGGAAACCCAAATGTCATCAATAAAACAAGTATATTGATATTCTGAACAGCATGAAGGAATACCTAAGACAGGATTCTGTATCCAAGAAATCACATGAAAAAGTAACATACTGCATGCCTTAGTTTCTTTTACTGATAAAACATTCTGATAAAAACAGCTTAACCAGGAGTACGTTTGCTTCAGCTCACCGTTCAAGGTTACATTCCCTCATTGCAGGAGAAGTCAGAGCGGCAGAAGACTGCAGCGGGTGGCCACGTTTG